AGAGAGAGAGAGAGAGAGAGAGGCGAGGAGCGCGAAACTGGCGACGCTTTGAAGTGCTGTCTTTCAGAAGACGTGTCCTATCCGCGCGAGCGGTCGCTTGTTAATAGAAGGGGACGTTTAGGGACGGTTGCTACCATCTCTCACCCCTTGCTCGCTCTCGTACCTCGAGCCATAGACTGCCGACTTGCCAGACTTGTCGGTATTGTATTTGAATACGTGGCGTATCTGCTCTCCGGCTCGTTGCTCGCTAGCATTGTGCGTACGTAAGAGAGAAAGAACAGCATTGAACCGCACAGCTCCAACTCTCCTAGCCAGAGAGTTGAGACCGTTTCTCTTGCTTCTCGACGTTCCCTTCTCGTCTTCCACGAAACTGTTCTTCCTTCTCCGCAGAGAAGAAGCTCCTCCCCTCTTCTCTCCACTTTCGAGCCGATGCTGCCCCTGTCTTCGCCGCCTCTCGTTCGTTTTCCACCTCTCCGCCCGGGTTCCATCTCGCCCGGTCGCGAGCGTACAATCGAGCCCCGAGCCGGGTAATGAGGCGCTCCATTCAAATAAATCTTGATACCGGTAAGGAGAGTGTTTCGAGGCCTATTCCGTCGAGGAGCGCGCGCATCAACCGACGTCGACCCGGAAAACTTCCATTCTCCGTCGTTTGCCATTTCGAGGGATTCCCCCGTGGATTCGCGCGGCTCATTGTCGCGTCGCCAAGGATTAGAGTCCTTTAACATTTTTGTCGTTCGCTCATTGTCCCGAGACGTTTTTCTTTTTTTGTTTTTTTCTTATCGCGTTTAAACGGGTACTTTGGCCGATCGATGATGATGTATTGTTTCATCGAGAAAAACATTGTAAAGTCTGTGAAGTGGAAGAATCTTTATCTATCGATAGTGAAAAATATAAGTTAGAAAAACGATTATAAAATATATTGTCAATCTATCTTTCCATTTGATTTTAAAAAAATTGAATATTTGTGTTTGTCACCATCTTGAATAATTATGTATACTAATGTTGGTTGAAGTAAATCAACATAATAACTAAACTATAACTAAACTTATTCCTTTTTCAAAGTTTTATCTAGTTTTATGAGACTTCTTATATCTTCGATTTTTATCAAATTATCCACTTAATTACTTGTTTATTAAAACACTTCTTTTTTTTCTTGCCGAAGTGAGAAAATTAACAAATTATTAGAATGAAAAGAAGAAAAAGATTCGCAAAGTTATAAAATAATAAAAACAGACGAGTCTCCTTTTTCAGCGTCGGTCCGTTTGATCCACGCGCTCTTCGCTTCACTTTCTCCTGTCGCTACTTAAGTACCAAAGAGAATAAGTCCGACAACCAATTTAGATATCTCGTAATTCAACGAGGAAGACAAAGAAAATGGAGACGACGGTGGTTCAATCTTCGCCGACGTGTCCGCTAAAACCTTCGTCCCCTCGCCCGAGACTTTCTTGCTTGTTTGTTGCGTCGAGGCCTGTTGGTTGCTCGATTATGGAGCAAAGGCCTGGCCAGGGTAATGAGGGGCTCCATTGAAATAAATCTTGATACCGGGACGGGGGCCATTATATAGAAATTCGTGGCCGGAAGCACGGGGGAGCTGGAAAATTCTCCGAGAAACGGGGAACGCCAGCCGGCGACCACCATCGCTAGCAGAGATTCTGTTGCGGCCACCGCCCGTTGTTACCACCCTGTGTAAAATCGCGCGCCGGCTCGTTTCCTCTTTCTCCTTTCATCCGCTCCAGCCGAAGCTGCCAGAGGCCGACCGTTGTTGCGCCTTGTTACCCGTTCCTACGTCCGACCTTGACTTCAACGCGAAAACTGGATTTCATGCGCTCTCGTCTTTTTCTCCCTCGCGTTTCTCCTCGAGGGCGCAGTTTAAAGGAGGGCGTCAGGACTCGGCGCGTATTTCGCCGCGATTGTCCGTCTCGTTCTCTTTTTCTCTCCCTTCGTCTCTTTCCTCCCTTTCTTCTCCGTTTCTCTCATCTGGCTCTTTCTCCTCTATTCAACGTCTATTTTTCATCGCTATATATATTTTTTTTTTCTCTCGCTCTCTCTCTCTCTCGCTCATCCGTGTGCGTGGATTTGTAGGTTCGCCCTCGCGTTGCCGAGTCACCGCCGCGGGCCTTTCCAATTTCCTCCCTGTCGTGCTCGTATACGTTCTCTTTCTCACTCTCTTCCTCTTCTCTCTGTGTTCTTTTTTTTTCTTCACACGTTTATTCGGATATTCGGTGAACGATCATAGAGGAAATTTGAAAATAACGCGGCCGGACTTGCGTTCG